ACCCTGAGCTGTCCTTTCTCCCTCACATCCGCACCACAACTGGCACCGCCTTCCATCACCTCCGGAACATCGCCAGACTACGGCACTACCTCACCCCTCACGCTGCTGAAACCCTGGTCCACGCCTTTGTCACCTCAAGGCTGGACTATGGGAACTCTCTCCTCGCCGGCCTTCCCGCCACCTCCCTCCACAAGCTGCAGGTCATTCAGAACTCTGCAGCTCGTGTACTGTCCCGCACCAGGCTTCGGGACCACATCACTCCCACCCTCGCTCGCCTCCACTGGCTCCCCATCCCCCAGAGGATTGATTTCAAGATCCTCATCCTCACCTACAAGGCCATTCACGGCCTTGCTCCCTCCTACCTCTCCAACCTACTATCCCCCTACCTACCTGCCCGTACCCTCCGTTCCTCTGGCTCCGGTCTGCTCCACGTCCCCCGCCCCAACCGCCCTACCATCGGTGGTCGGGCCTTCAGCCTCTCAGCCCCAGGCTCTGGAACTCCATCCCCCAGTGCCTTCGCCGCTTCCTCCCTTTCCTCCTTCAAGGCCGGTCTCAAAACCTTTCTCTTTGACCGAGCCTTCAGCTCCCCTCTCGACTCTCTTCCCCCTCCTCGCTCCCTCCCTTCCCTCCCCTCACCCTGACCATTTCCCCCCTCCTCCTCCCTCCCTTCCCTCCCTCACCCTGACCATTTCCCCCTCCTCGCTCCCTCCCTTCCTCCCCTCACCCTGACCATTTCCCCCCTGCTCGGGTCATGACCCAACTGTGCAGCGCCTTGGGACGTCCTCCTGACGTGAAAGGCGCTTTATAAATGGAATCTTGTTGTTGTTGTTGTAAGTATTTGCAATGTAAAATTGATCGGATGACTCGTCTTATAAGATGGCGTTTTGCATTGCCTATCTGCGACTGTGCAGACGCTCAGCAAAAGTTGAGTACATTTTGTTAGATTTATTTTTAAAAAAAAGCTGTGTAATCAAAAAGAAAGAACACGATCTTCTGTGTATCAGATTGTCAGGCAAGTGAAGGATTTTCTGGATTAATCTGTTTAAATTGACCGGAAGTTGAATGTAATATACTATCATGTACATTCTCATAACCTACTACTCTCCAAGAACATTGTAGCACCTTGAAAGCACTATTTCAACTTACGTATTCAGTTATTTGTATAAAGGGACATTGGAGTGCCCTTTTGGTATTAACAGTTACCTCACTTTCTATCTAACATTCCCCATTTGAAAACAAAATCAAATATTAACTTTTTCAGTGCAACTTTTATTGCTTTTTTCCTGTCTGCTCCTGATTCATATTTTGTTTTGTTTTTAAATAAAAAGTTGAGTTCCAATAGCTTGTTGGGGCTTTTGATTAGGAAGAGCTACTAAGGACAACAGCATGCTGAAACAAAATAAACATGCACAGTTTAAATTACACGATCCCCAAAGCATTCTGTTTTAATTACTGTATCTGCTTTCTGTCTGGCTTCGTAACACTTCCAAAGTAGCTCTAAATTATAATTCTGTTGAATTTGTTTCAAACGACATTGCTGGCATAAGACCTGTTCACGCAATATTACCTCATTTCAACACAGTTTTACTTGGCAATGCGTACACTATGCATCTCCTGGCTTAGAAGAGTATATAATTTATAAACTTTTCTCAATTTCTTCTCCAGTGACAAAGTTGTTTGCCCAGTGTGTTCTTAGCGTGATAAGGCGCTATATCAAATGCAAGGATTATTATTATTTATATAATATAAAAGTTATTTAACTCATAAACTTTCACTTTAGCCATAGTTAATTTGTGAGAGACTGTGACAAGTGGTAAAATTTACCACCAAAGCCTCACTGACTCAATTACTGTAGCAAAAAAAACCTCCATAAATGAAATGCTTGCAAACTCTTTCATGCAATTTTGTGATTTCGATTTATTACCATTTCTCCCATTAGGAACTCTTCCAATGCTTCTTTGATAATAGACTCCAATATTTTTTCCTTCCATGTCAAACTAATAGGTCTCTAATTCCCAGGATTGTACTTCAAGTATTGAAATCACATTAGCTGGCTTCTAGTCCCCTGTGTTCAGTGATCTTTGTGAAATGCATCAGACAACAGACCTCTTTGTACCCCTACCTTCCGCCCAACACTTTTGCCCTAACCAGTGCTGTTTTCAATGCAAAATTCAAGCCAGTAGAGCACACAGCATAAATAAAATATGATGAGGAATGCTCCATTGTGTAATGAGATCCAATGTATTTGGCAGCTTACTTATCTGTAAACCATTGCCTCTCATTCTTTCTTCTGAATTTAAGATTTCACTCAGCTGACATGTGTGTGCTGCATGTTGCTCGTCTCTTCCGCTCCACATTTATCACCGTGCTTTCAGCCACTATGCCCCGAATCTCTGGAACTCTTTGCCTCAATCTCTCCATCTTGCCCACTGTCTTCAAATCGCACCTAAAGAGTTTCCTCTGCAACCGTGCCTTTGCTCACCTCCTCTCCTTTCTGGCTTGGCATTTGAGTGTTCCGAGATGCCATCCGTGTGAAAAGCGCTATATAAATACAACTTGTATTTGAAATTTGTGATGGAAACTAATGGATTAATCAAATATCTGCACTGTGTTGTATTGCATGTATTTTGTATTGAACCAATGTCTCCCATATTAATTAATTTTATCTTCTATACCTGGTTTGCATTATTTACGATGGGAAACAGAAACACTTATCTAGGCTGATATTCCAATGCAGTGCTGGTGTTGCACTGTATTGTTGGAAATATCATTCCTTGGATGAAACATTACCCCAAGGTCCCATTTGCCTGTTCAGGTGGACATTAAAGGAACAATTTGAAAAGAGAAATTAGTTTCTTCTGATGTCTTGCCAGCAATCCCCTGATAAAATTGGTCATTCACTTTATCGATGATTATGGGACATTGCTGTATTGAGATTGGCTGCTGCATTCACCTTCAAAATACAGTCACTTGCACTTTACAGTGAATTTTATGAGATGTTCTCCTGACAAGAAATGTGCTATATCAACTGAAACAATTATTAATTTCTCCCTTTTATAAAATCTAATATTTCACTATATTAATCTGTTGAATCTGCATAATTTCAGCACCATTTGGGGTTTTTTAACATCAATTTATTAAGGTTACTATATAAATATACACAATTATAGAACTATAGATGATAGTAAGTTACTATAGGACAGTAATTTAATCTTGGGAGTTTAGAAGACATTTAGAACCACTTAAGCTTTCTTTCTTGGCTTAAAATATCCCCTGAACCCCAGGGATAAATTACAACCTTCTCACTCCCTCCTAATTATCCATAATTCTACATGTGCTGTAGTTAAGTGACTATCTGTTCTGTTCTCGGGAATCAAGGATACCAAGGTCAGTCTAAAGGATGACACTATGATTGATTATAATTATCTTCTAGTTTAGCCACTTCCTTTGCTTTTTTTGACATTTTATAATTTACAAAAATCATTTAATAGTTATAACAGTAGCAGGACTTTTCTCTTGCAGTACTTTCCCAATGAATTGGCTACAATACACACATTATATAGTGTCCTGACAATTATCACTTTTATTTCCAGGCACTGATCAAATGACGAATTGAGCATTGACTAATTGATAGGCAAGGCAATTCTTGGAAGAGTGCAAGATGAGATAACTTTTAGTATTAGCCTATTTATTCTGAGAATTACATGAACATTGCAGCATGGAAACAGATTATTCAGTCCTACTGGTCCATGCAAACCAAAGCCCTAACGGGAACAGTGGCCCTAGCCGGATAAACAGCAGGAAGCCTGCCAAATAGTGCCTTCAATGGCAAGCTATGCGGTAATTATCCGACAGCTCCACAGCATACTTTCTGGGGTCTCCAAACATTGGTACTTGCCAAACCATGCGTAATATTCTCCAGAGTTAGATACAACGCTCCATATAGAGAGTAGACATTCCATTCCGGATACAGACTTTTCCATGTTTAGGTGGCATATATATGTGGAACTCTTCAGTTTGGTTTGGATACTCTTAAGTATGGTGATGGGTTTCCACATGTGTCAAATACCTGACTGACCAAACAAATTAGTATCTTCCATAGTTCTACCCTTGACTTTTATTGACATGGATTTATTCATTAACCTCTTATATAAAATGTAATTTGAAAATGTATTCTTCCCTCCATAACTGAAAACAAATTTCCTCTTGTCATGTTGAAACCTGAGTACAGTAGTATTGCTGTAAGTGACAACAAATTGATGGATAATTAAATTGCAAAATATGTTTTCTCTTGGACTGTACTGAACTTGTAAGTTATGTCTTTACTAAACTTGCATATGTATAGGGTGTAGGTCAACGAGGCTGCCATTGACTTAACAGTGAATGTTATACTACAACAGATTCATTTCTATCTTGAAAGACAGTGTTTATTGAATTAAAATGGCTTTTATATATCATACTTTCAAATTAAAAATTGTATTTTAATAAACAATTATTAAAAAATGAGGATTGAACAAAAGATGTGCTGTCTTAATACAAAAATTTGTTGTGTAGCACCCTATTTGGCTAACTTATTTGAGTAATTATAATTTACACGGTTGCAGCTTTGTGTGATCAATGGTCTCCATTAAATTATCTTTTTGGTCCTTTTGAAGTATTGTTGTGTCAAGCTGTTTGCTAAAGATTATTACTGGGAAGTGCTTCAAAGGAAGCTGAGTACTTTTATCAGTCTCAATGTGAAACAGTAGATTGCACCAGTTTGCATTCTCAAATTACAGAGCAAATCTTTAGAGGTACTCTTGAATCCAGAGATCCATCATACAAACTTCTCCCATTAGACATCTTACCAAAAACTGATAATTAAATAAAGAGAAATGCTTAATTGCTGATTAGTTTTCAGTATAATTTTTATTTTAGGGATAGGATATTAAATGCCTTTTATATAACAACAGTATTTTTCATCTGATTCCAATATTTTTGTGTTTTTATTTCTGTTTCAGTTTGGATAATTTATGAACAAGTGATGATTGCTGCCCTTGATTGCAGTCGGGATGACTTAGCAATGGTAGGTACCTCTACCCTTTGGCACTTGTTTCTAGTTTGTTTTTACTTTGAATTTATGTGCAATGCTTTGTTAAAATAATAATAATAATCCTTCCATCTCCTCGCCACTCTACTCTCTGACATCATCAATCACTCCCTATTATCTGGCACTGTTCCCATCCCCCTAAAAACAGTTATAATAATAATAATCCTTGCATTTGATATAGCACTTATCACATCTTCTGGACGTCTCAAAGCGCTTCAGAGAATATACTGTAAAGTGAATTGACTGTATATTTGTGGGTGAAACGCGGCAGCCAATTGTGCACAGCAGTGTCCCACAAACAGTCGTGGATTGAAAATGACCAATTCATTATTGTTTTGTTTTGGAGGGATTATTATTAGGCTCTGTGTGGAGTAAGGAAACTTGCCCAAGGTTTCGTCCTGCCTGGAATTGAACCCAGGTGTCTCGCTTGCAAGACGAGTGCTCTAACCACTGAACTACAGGACTCCAAGTAGATTGTATGTGACATATATTGGTCACTTCAGAGACTAAATTTCCTTCAGATGCTGCACTTCAGTGTTTAACACTCATTCGTGCTAACAGATTTGTCGTGAGTTTTGCAAATTAGGATTAGGGCAAATTAGGGCAGCCCATGGATTGAAAATTGGTTGACAGATAGGAAGCAGATCTTTGGAATAAAACAGCCATTCTCTGATTGGTGAGCAGTAAAATGTGACTCCCATCTTTTCACACTGTTTGTAGCTTGCCTTAATATAGCAATATACTAATAGGAATTGCTCACTCTTCCCTCATTCAAGACTCATCTCAAAACTTGCCTCTTTGACTGTGCTATTGATCAACTTTCCACTTCTCACCCCACTCAGCTCCCACCCCTAGCTTGGGTGCCCAATGAACACTGTCACCATGTGTAGATGGCATGCATGGAACTGTCTGGTTTGAATAGTCTTTAAGTATGGTGGGTTTCCACATATGTCAGTAACCAGCTACCCATAAAAAAACAGGATGAGACTTGCAATGAAAGGAAATAACTATGGTGAGTTATTGAGTAAACTGATGAATAAATTAGCCTGGTTCAGTTGGTAGCTTTCTAATGAGTCACATCAGATCCATTGGAAATTTGATGTCTCGGCAGGCATTTCAATACAATCTAGGGAAAACTCCATTATGTTGCATTCTTGTGGAGTCCTGTAGCTCAGTGGTTAGAGCACTCGCTTTGCAAGTGAGAGACCTGAGTTCAATTCCCGGCAGGGTGAAACCTTGGGCAAGTTTCCTTACTCCACACGCCTAATAATAATCCCTCCAAAACCAAAAACAATAATAAAAATTGGTCATTTTCAATCTACGACTGTTTGTGGGACATTGCTGTGCGCAATTGGCTGCCGCGTTCGCCCACAAATATACAGTCAATTCACTTTACATTGTGTTCTGTGAAGCGCTTTGGGACGTCCTTCCGACGTGAAAAGCGCTATATCAAATGCAAGGATTATTATTATTATTATTATTATTTAGATGCAGTGTGAAACTGGGGTCTTGTCTATCTGTTTAGATGGACATTGATCATGTAGCACTGTTCAGAAAGTGAAGGGAGTTTCTCCTGGTCTTAGTCATCAATCCCTCAGATATAATTGGTCATTCACTTCAATGGCTGTTTTGGGATATTAATATATGAGATATTGCTGTCTGCAGAATTGTCTGCCCTGTTTTGCTTAAAAAGTACAGATACTATGCTTTATAGTAAATCCTGCGAAGTGCTTTGAAACATCCTCCTGATGTGAAAGGTGCCATATCAAAATGCAAAGATTCTTGTGTTCTCTCAAGAAGAACTTGAATTTTCAACAAATAATTGGTTACATGACCTCTTTTAGAGCTTATGTTGCATCATTCTTTGTGAGAAGGCTTTGCGTCATTCTTTGTGAAGGTGCTTGCCTTTGTGTTATTTTCTACCTTCCTGAGGCCCCTCTCTCTATTCTCCTTAAAGGTGAGTAATTTAGCCCAGACCGCATAAAGAAAAATATGAAAATAAGTTAATCATAAAAGGGTAGAATTTAACTGGTTCTGAATAAAGCTTTGTGGTTAATCCAGTTATCATAAATTGTAAATTGATAACCTAACACGAGAAGAAAATTTGCTGCTTTGCTGGAATTGAAATTGTGCAATTTATTTCTGCGATGGTTTAACAGTTCTGATGCGGCTGGCAAGGTTGTATAGGCTTGGATTGGCACAGATTGAACCAAACTAACTAACTGACTGAACTCAGGCCAGCCCATTAATCGTAATATGAAATTTGTCATAAACAACAAAGTTTCTTTGTATGATTAATGGTCTTTTTAGCATGCGGAAGCACTGATACAGGAACGTGCTATTCGACCAAGAAAAATGTTCTTTTGCGGCTTTGCCATGCTTATTGCATAGGTGAACAGAGAGGAAAAATTGGATTTGTAACTGGCTAGGCTGTCTTGTTCTCACAAGTGGGCTTCACTGTGTTAACACAAACGAATGTTGTGCTGTACAGCATATTGCTATTCTGTTTTGTTCTCGTTTATGCTGTAAAAAGGGAGAGACCAAATAAAGGATGCAATATTCTCAACATGTGTGATATACAATACAGTTTACATTTATTTAGCACCTTTTTTATTGGGAGGATGTCTCAAAGCGCTTCATACAGCTGGATAGTCAGGAGGAGGGTAGGGGGATAATAGATGGGGGAGTGGGGGGATAGTGGATGGTTTGTGGATGAGAGCTAATTTTCTTCAGTTGAATGGCAACAAGATCGAGGCTCTTCTGATTGGCTCCAGTCAGTACCTCCTCACCTCAGGCGTTGACAGTATCACCATCCATGGATGCACACTCCACCTCACTGAGCCAGTCCGGAACCTTGGCATCTTGTTTGACCCTCAACTATCCTTTCTACTCCACATCTGCGCCATGACCCACTCTGCCTTCCCCCACCTCCGCAACATCGCCCAGCTCCGACACTGTCTCACACCACATGCCACCGAAACCCTCATTCACACTTTCATTACATCGAGGCTCGACTATGCAAACTGATTGCTTGTCGACCTCCCCAGCTCCTTCCTCCATAGGCTGCAGATTATCCAGAACTCTGCAGCCACTGTCCTCTCCCGCACCTCTGACTCCACTGGCTTCCCATCACACAGAGAATATAGTTCAAGATCCTGGTCCGCACCTTCAAAGCCCTCCATGGTCGTGCTGCCCCCTACCTCTGCGATCTCCTAACTCCCTACCATCCTGCTCACCCACTCCACTCTGGCCTGCTTCACATCCCCCACCTCGCTCGCCCCACTTTTGATGGGCAGGCCTTCTGCCACTCTGCCCCCACCCTCTGGAACTCCATTCCGCAGTCCCTCCGCCTCGCCCCCTCTTGATGATCTTTCAAGACCCATCTCAAGACCCTCCTCTTTGACCTTGCTTTCGATCTCCCTGCTTTCCCTCTGCCCTCCCCACCCCTCCCGACCCCCAGCTCAGGTCCGAAACTCTGTCCGTTCAGCACCTTGGGACATCCTCCCAACATGAAAGGCGCTATACAAATGTAATTTTGTTCTTGTTGTGGGACATTAACAGGGGAAAGACGAAAAATCAATTTCATTGGTATTCATTTTTAGGGATTCATTTAGTAGGGATTGCCTCATACAACAATTCTACCCACATTGTCACTAACGTCTAACATGGCTTAACGTTACAAAGAAAATGAAATCTAAATATGCATCGTTATCAGTTCCTTTTTATTCCATTCACAACTCATTTTTAATATTTTTTTTGTTGTGGAAGAGTAATTTATTAGCATCCTCTGTGTTTGAGCTATTGGCATTTTTGTTTATCCTTGAATAGTGCAGTTGGCAGATGTGAGTGAGAGTGACAAATGTACAGTCGTAAAAGACTTAGAGGTGAGAAACGAACACTTAGCAACGAGAGCTCATTCCTGACCCAGAGGTGAGAATGCACCAACTGAGCCAAGTTGACATCCACGTCAATTACTGTACGCAGAAATATTAAAAGGTTCTCATCAATGGAACCTTAATGCGTCGTATGTAAATGCTTACGTAGTATGCATCATGTGTAAATGTATGTGTGCAGAGCATAGTACAATTACCCTAAATTATGTAGCTGAGCAACTAGAAATGAATTAGTTGCCAATTCCATAAAATATTTTAATTGGCTCATTACATAAATAAGCACTTGGTGCATAATACATACTTGTTTATGCATAGTTTACACATGGTGCATAATTGACGCATGTGTAGACCATAAAAGTAGGATCAAGATTTGTTAACCATATGAGAATTGTGCTGTACTCGAATTGTTCGTTTTATGTTTTTTTCTGTCTACAGTTGTGTCTGCATGAACTTCGAAAGCAATTTCCAGGCAGCCACCGAGTGAAACGATTGACTGGCATGCGATTAGAGTCCTTGGAAAGGTATTTGAAACCTCATTCATCTAGATACAACTGGGTAAGAGTAGGAATTAGGAAAACAGAAACATAAAAAAGGTACAGAATTAATTTTCAGATTCTTTCATATGTCTAAGGTGAATTGATTCCACGATATACAGTTCAGGATTTAATGATCTGCAAATGTCTATAAACTGTTTGAAGCAGGTATTTAACACATCAGTAAAGAAGGCTTAGTTGTGTCCTGTAATGTAGATCCATGTGTCAGAAATTATGATTTTTGTCAGCCACCTTGTAGTTTTGAATTCTCCATTAACGACAATTTTCTGGACTCTTAGAACTTAATCAGACAACTTTTATAAAAACATTTTTTGTTGTTTTTAAAGGTATGAGGATGCCAACAAGGTGTATGATACAATTTTACAGGAAGATGCAACAAACACAGTAAGTAAAAAGAGTTTGATTGGATGTGCGCTTATTAAAATACCGTTAACGAATTAAATCTCTTGGTTAAATTACTGCTGTGTTTTAAGTGAACGCATTTTATTAGATTGTATTATGCAGGAAGCAACTTTAGCAGCAACTTGACAATCTAATTTTTTTGCACAGTCTTATACTATGGCCAGCGAAATACGGGACTGCACTATAAGGGGTTTGCCCTCAAAATTTAAGAAAATGACATGAAGGTTATTAGCCTGAATTGCATTGTTAGGAGTCTGTTTTTTGCATGGTTTTGACCCAAAGGGATAAGAGGACTAGGACCGAAGCTTACTTATGTCATGGTTGCTCGAGAGATATGAAACACAGTCTTGTTTGATCATGTTGCATGAAAGGAGATTTACTTCTCAAACCCCCCCCCCACTCCTATCCCTTGTGATTGTAACAACATGCTTTTTTCATAATATTAATACCTATTAAGTAAATAAAGTTTTGCTTCAAAACTCAATTTGGTTCAGAGAAAATGGGGGGAGGGGAGTAATGTCCATAACACTTTTTTTTTAAAAAAGCAAATGATTTGTTTCAATAGTGTTGGTATCCAGTTGCTTTTTTGGGTATGCAAAGAGGAAGGTAGGGCTTTACATGTTTATGCTGTTTTATATTTTCATGTCCCTAATCCAAACAGTGGCTTAGAAGATGTTAACAGATGAAGTATTCAAAACCAGTTGGGAAAATAAAACATAAAAGTGACATGAAATTGGCATTATCAATGAGAATTTATATGAAGACAAATACCTCCTGGTATTCGGTCCAGATCTGAACTTGAAACAAAATGTGCTGTAATCGTGTGCGAATGACATCATCTGGACAAGCAACAGACAAAACATTCACAAATTATTTTGTTTTGTCATACTAATCCTTAAGTCTGAATCTTTGATTTCTGTGGGCTTTGTTAGACTTATATTCAGATTTATTTAATAAATTATTAGGATCTGGAAATTGTTCAGACATTAACTACCTGGTAATCATTTCCATAAGCACACGTGGCTATAGTAGCAAACTACACACTGCATTATTTTATACAGAAACTTTTGTCTTGTTTTGGCTCAATAACTAATTTAGAATTCTTCTTTCTGATGTTTCAGTTTGCTGATATGTGAAGTTGCTTAGGAATATTAATGTTAAGTTTCGTGTTGGCAGCTGCTGTAATTGAAACAGATTTTTCTTTAAAGGGTTATTTAAAAAAACTGTGCTGCAAGAAGTGAGGGAAATGGCAATAACAAAATCTGTTATGTTAACTCCAAACTATACTCGCTCAGTTATAACCTGGGTGGTTGATTTACCAACTATACCATTGTCTTAATTTTGCACTTTAAGTTCAATAAGATGTCAGCTTTTAGTAATACTGCATCTTGTTTTAAATATTTTCCTTTGTCATGTTTTTCTCTCCTACCGTCTTGAAGGTATTTGTGTCTTTACTCTTATGGTTTCATGGATGTCAGTTGCTGGTAACCTCTTGCAAGCAGCCATTATTTATCAATTTTGGCAGATTAATTAACTATTGTGAGAAGAGGGTGCATCAGAGCCCGACCCAATCCTGTCCTTAATGGACATCCACACAAGTGCACTTTAAGGGTCTCTGGATAATGAACAGGAGTGTGAACACTGTCTGATTTGTTTTCGGAATCTTTCTCTAACCTATGCCAGGCATTCCTACTACCCCAGCTGACAACTAATTTTGATCACAAAATACATAGTCAATCCACTTTACAATATATTCTGTGAAGCATTCAGAGACGTCTCAATGACGTGATAAGGCCCTATATCAAATGCAAGGATTATTATTATCAATTCAACACAGAATTCAAACATATGATATTCAGGTCTGTATAACTTAATGTAGCGCCAGGCATTCCCTTTACCCACTTGGCCTATTGAGGGCATTTTATGACATATCTTGTCATGCACCAGTTTTTCAAGATTAAACTAATTTTTAATCTTCTTGGACCTCAACAAGACAATCTGTACCACTAGTTCGATGGGAATTTTTGGGGACTGGTAAAATATTCAACAATGCAGAAGCATTTTGAAACGTCTCGAAGACATGATAAGGTACTATATTAAATGCAAGGATTATTATTTATTATTACCACATCTTGATTATCTGTTGACACCATCTATTTATTCTATAAACGCAAACACAAAAAATCTAGTTGTGGCCTTTGCAACCCCACTCCCCCCTTTTGTCTGAATACTTTTTCTTGCTAGCTTTTTCCTTCTTTAGTGTTCTGTTCTGTTTCCTCCTTTATTATGATCTTCAACCTTTCTGATCTTCTGATCATTAACAGACTGCACTTCATTCTACCGACCAAAGCATTTCCCTTCAAACCTGGTTTAAATGAATCCCAGTTGCTATATTTAAACTTGTATGAGAATGCTAATTTTGTGAACCTTCTTATGTGCCCTCTGTCTTTGGATATTATGATTGTATATATTTGCTTGAGTGCTGGACGGAAGACCCTAAAGTCAAAGACTGACTAATTTGAATCCTCAGAAAACTAAAATAGCATTTCTATCTATCACCTGTTATTGGTTTGATCTAATTTTTGTTACTACCTTCTAATATCCGTGATCAAAATGTTTTGCTGTATGCATTACATGCTGTTTGTACTTCCACCATTCTCTGCTTTCATAATAACTGTAGGGTTGTTTTTGAAAGAGGTATTTTTGTATGCAATTAGGTCCCTAGTTGTCCCAAAAGGTCAGAACCCTGTTAATTCCTCCCTCCTTTGAAGTCATGGCCTCCAGCTGATTTTTAGTTGATCTACCTTGACATTTTTGGAGGACGTTTTCTAATGGTGAATTTGAGTCCTTAAACCAAGGTATATGTTTCTATATGTTAACAGTGGTACAGCTGTTCATTCATCCAAGATGGAGTCAAATTCATGGGTTGAACACTGATAACCTTAGTAGGGTGCATTTACTTAAGTCTGATATTTCCTGTAGCAATAGCCATGTTACTTAAATAATTTGGTTTACAAAAGGATTCTCAACACACCATTGGCCTCGTAATTACATGTTGTAAGGATATGAGATTATGCCCTAAATTATGCTCCAGCATGCAAAGTGTAATTTTACCTGGATATCAAAGGGGCTGACTAACTTTGGGGGCTTTGACAGTGATGAAACACAGAACAGCTGTATCCAGCAAGGGACCTAAAATTACAGACCACCTTGTCAAGGATATAACAAACCTTTGGATGTAGGGAATGTGCAAAAAGTACTGGTTATTACTATCTTTTTCTACAGGAGATATTGTAACCCCAGCCTTAGTTGTAGATTAAATAGTTTTGGATGTTTAACATGGAACTCTTAGGAAATGGCCAAAGTTAGGCGCAGAAAATGTTATTTGTTCAAAGATTGTTCATGTTATTCGGAGCTCATCTTGTTATCATACCCCTCTTCTATCTTTTTCCCGGCAAGTGGTTTCTTTTTTCGCAGTAGACATTTTCATTCATATGTGAATAGCAGAATCAAGTCAACCTTCTGTGGTGGTCTCAGTAGTCTGGTTCCTGAGTCAAGCAGGTCTGCAGTCTCTAGGGCACTGCTGGTGATAGACTAGCCAGACAGACCAGCAAGCCTGGCTCGCCAGCAGGCCTCCTGTTAACACTGCAAGCCAAAGCCCTGATGGGGAGGGTGATCCTAGCTGGAGAAGCAGCAGAAAGCTTGCCAGCAGTGCTTTCAGTGATAAGCTTTGCAAGTTTAGCTGGTTAGACTTCAGTGGTACAGCAATATACAAGCCGTGGCTCTCACCAACTTGTGTCTGATAATTCCTGGAATCAGATAAAGCAGGGTGCATCCCTCCAGGGACGCATTTCCATTCCAAATGTATGAAAATTTCCCCGAAGGTGGGAAGCATATGTAGAACTTTGGTTAGATACTCTTAAGCATGGTGATGGTTTCCGCATGTATTAGATGCTCTTGTTGCCCAGGTCTGAAGTCAAATTAGATGGCATGTTATGCTACCAGATACGTATAAAAGATAATCTCCAAGCAGTTCACGTATAGATAAAAGAATTGACTGACTTCACTACAAATAAACATAGATAGCAGACCACAGCTTGATGGTCCCCTCCACATATACAACTCCCACAAATTGTTTGAAACATCTTTGAATAATATTTTAGATAAACCTCACTGCAAGGAATGAACAATTTTTGACATTATTACAAAGTGGGTTCATTTGATCCCTGTCACTCCACTTATTTTGCTGGTAAACTAAATGTGACGGTAACGTGAATCAACTGCATTGTACTTATAATAAAATTGTTCTTCACATTTGTTGCTTGTGATTCCTTTGGATCTTGTTCAATGCTACTTCCAAGTATTGCCAAAAACTAAATTGGTTAAAGTTACAGAATGTCAACTCCATTAAATGTAATACAAATCTTCAAAGCTTTTTACTATAAACTAATTTGTTTGCCAATCTAAACTTTCAGAAAGATGTTACAGCTTATGTTAATTCCAAAACTCTGTCTGTCCAGCACCTTGGGACATCCTCCTGACATGAAAGGCATTATACAAATGTAATTTTGTTGTTAATTTGATCAGAGATGGGATTTTTAATATTTTGCTTCAGAAATAGTTACATTTTTAGAAATCAATGAATTTTTTTTGCATTAGATTGTTTATCTTTTGCGTGCTCCAATTTGACGTGTTAATAGGCCATTTTTGCCATGTTGTTTGGAACATTAATTCCTAGAAATATTTTGGGAGTTCGCAGATATAATTTCAGATTTAGTTCTTGGAAAGGTTTGAAGTCATCAGTAATTGTTTTAAAGAGATCGTGGTCCCATCAGGGTCTCGGGACATTCTCCTGACATGAAAGGCGCTATAGAAATGTAATTTGTTGTTGTTGATATTTGACCTAAACAAGACAACTGTTTTCTGTTCCACATTAGACACTACATACGTATGATCCTTGTCCTCATTATCCTCCACTTGCT